GCACTCAAAAATATTTTTAAGCACTTTAAAAAAATATAATTCGGCAGGGTTGGAACGTTTTTGATAATAGACGGTTTTATCTTGTTTTAATCGTCACGTAAAAAAAAATATATATATATATATATATATATTTGGGAAGAATAGTGCGTGCACTGGGAAAAAGGACATTTAAATTGAAATATTTACAGGACGTGTTCATTGTGTTCTCAAGTCTGCACCTGTTCACAAGTCTTAGTAATTAATTTAAAAACATTGATTTTTTTTTCAGTCATCAGTCCCACCTGTTGACAAACTTTGTAACTTAATTTGAAATTCGGAGAGAAAATATTGGCTTCTTAAACAGTATATTTCTGTAGCTTTTTTTCTTTCTTTTTTTCTGATAACTAGTCTTTCCTTTCTGTTATTTTTGGATCCCCTTTAGCTTCTTTTTTTTTTGCCTTTATTTTCATAAAGTTACGCGCAAAAATCAATAAATAAATAAAATAAAAATAAAATAATAATAATGAAAACTACTTACGTGTATAACAAAGCATGTTTTTGCAGACATAGAGCCATTGATACTTCGACTTCGTGAACCAGGATTTTCTTTTCTGAAATCTAATTTTCGGAATTGTTTATACTCTTGATTGGTAAGCACTCCATATTTCAAGCCTTCTAGCCTAAGGTTTCCTTCATCAGAGTTCTCATCTGATCCTGCGATCGCAACTGACTTGGTTATGATTGTAGAATGGCTTGATGCAGCCGATCTTGGTCTGAAACAGGACTTTGCAGAAGAAGATTTGGAAGAGGCTATCGAACTAGCGGTTTTTGGTCTTTCTCTCCAATTATATCTTGGTGTCGATTGGAGAGATCTCTTTGAGGACGCCAAAGAACATTGACTTGCTCGAGATGCAGGCCTCGAACATCTGTATCCATTATCGCACTTGTAGTTATTGCACCATTCGTTTAAAAATTCTTCGTAGTTTAAAAAACCAATCTCGTTTTTAGGAAGCTTTTCCCAAAGATTATTGAACTAGAAATAAATAAAAAAAAAGAAATATTAAGAATGAGACAAAAAAGACTCAGCAGTTTAAAATTTCTTTGTGTATCTGTTCTAATTAGTAAAGATGGTATAATTTTGAATAAGGATAGTTAAATTTTAAGTGAAAATTTAAGAAGCATAAAAACAAACAACAATAATGAAACATTTCATATTAATGTCGTGAATCTTACTTACAGCTTCCCAAGATTTGATTGAGATTTGAGATGGGGTGTACGTGTACATTTGTACACTGTCTTCCATGTTAAAGCACCTGGTTTTAAGCCAAGAAACTATTGGTCCGATACCCACCGAAACTATCTTTTGCACTCTTAATCACTTAATCACCTAATATTTTTATAACTAGTTTTTTTTAATATATAGATAACTAAGGCGATTATGTATACAGAAATGATGATTATTTTAAAACATTTTATCTCTCTATATATTAGATTTCATTTTGAAATGCGTGTAAATAAATAAAGAGCACAGTTTACATAGTTTGGATCAAATTATAATTTTAAAGTTATTATTATGACTTACACCGAAGAGCCATTACATTATGACCACCCTGCTAATAACATGTAGGACCACCTTTAGCTCTCAAAACTGCCAGCATCCACTGTGGCATTGATTCCACAAGGTGCTGATAGGTAGTCTGAGGTATCTGGTACCAAGCGCTCACCAACTGGTCCTGCAATTNCAACTTAGATAAACAGTCAAATTTGTTAACGTTTTTAAATTAAAAAACACGATTCCGTTATTAAAAATGGTAACTTTAGAATTGAAGATGAAATATTCACAATATTCGTCAGTCAGACAATATAAAAACGTACTTTGATGACATGTACTTTGACACTGGGAAACACAATTTATGTTGCATTTGATTGTAATATTTCATATTGTCTTATTCGAGTGTGGATTTCTAATTGGCCTCTCTCTCCAAGCTTTAGTTTTTCTTTTTAAAGTGACAATTTTAGTCTATGCTTGGTCAAAATGTACAATTTTAAAGACCTTATATGTAAGAAAGTGGATCTCTTAAAAGTGGTGACAAACATATAAGGAAGTTAGGGCACATCATCAGGATTAAAACCGTTTAGAAATGTCAGGAAATTTTGCACTCGGCTAAGTACACTTCCCTACTATGACATGTCAGAAAAATCAGTTCATAATAAGTAAGCGCTTCGAGCGGCGTATGACATTTCCAGGTATGAGTTCGTAGACAATTTTAAACTTGATGAGAATTGCCATAACTTTCTTAGACGTTTGTTGCAACATTTAAGTGACCTTTTAATGTATATAACGTTTTTAAAATTGCACATTCCGGCTAAAAATAGACTAAAAATGTCCTTTTACGAAGAAAAACTGGATCTTGCCGAGTGAAACCGATTACAGATTTGAAATAAGCGAAACTATTAGAAATCTTATCCAACCAAAAAAAAATAAATTGCTCCTTAATTTTTATGATTGCCATTTCACTAAATGCCGTAGCTATTATTTTCGCTAAGAATAGTTGAAATCCAGTATATTTTAAACAACTGTTCTTCAATGAAAAATAGAAATTTGAACAACTGAAGCAAAAAGGTTCGTAAAAAATTTACGAATTGCACAGAGAGGTTTTTTGAAAACTATTGAAAGAGAGAGCAGGGAGCTTACTTGAGTTAGTGAAAATATTAAAACAGAAAGTTTCCTTAATTAAGTGAAACTACTAAAACAGAAAAGTTCTTCAATATAATGAATAAATTGAAATTACTAGAACAGAGAAAATCCTTAATAAAATATATGAGTTGAAACTACTTAAAAAGATAATTTCATTAATAAAATAGATGAATTGGAACTATTTAAACAGAGAGGTTCTGTATCGAAATAACTGAGAGAGGTTATTCAATAAATTGCACGAATTGAAACTACTAAAACAGTGAACTTCCTTGATAAAAATGAATGAATTAAAATTACTGGAACAGAGTGGATTCCCAATAAGATGTATGAATTAAAACTACTGAAACAGAGGGGAGCGACAATAAAATGTTTGAATTGAAACTATTAAAACTATTAAAACAGAGAAGTCATTCAATAAATTGCATGAATTGAAGTTACTGAAACCGAGAGGTTTATCAATATAATGAATTGAAAAAGTTAATTTACCTGTTCGGGACTCATTCTGAAAACATACTTATGAAGAAGTTTTTGAACCACCTCTTGTCTCGCTATTCCGATATTGCAAAAATCTTGTTCCTTAAATTCTTGAAGAAATTTGTCCTTGTGGCATTTTACTGCTTCTTTAATGTGTCTTATTACATCATCAGCATCCAACTTTTTCACTTTATCTGGGAAAGCTGTTAATTTTTTCACGCAGAGTGCCCATTTTTCTTCATCCTTCATTTGAAATATATAAATAAATTTGTATTAATGCTTTTGTTAAAAGAAAACAGCAATGGAAGTTCTTTTACTCTTGAAAGTACGTTTTTCGAGAATTTCCTTCAGTTTACTTACAAGTAGCAAATAAATTAGTTTTGATACTTTAGGAATTTTCATGTATATAATTAAAAAAAATATGCTTTAAAGATGCACAAATACTCAAGTGAAAATTCTTGTTGGCCCCATCAAAAAAAATTGATGGTTTATGATGATTTCAGTGCGATTCATGATGATCTAATATCATTTGATGGTTACCATCATCCAACATTTTCCATTATGTGTTTGTGGTTTTTGATATGCCCACAAACTTCCATCTTTCCATGATGGAAAATGATACTTTAATACTATGATGGTTAACCGTCAAGAGAAGTGCGATTCTCATGGATCAACAATCCATGATGGTTCCGTCTATACATTTTCATGATGGTTTAATGGGAATTTTTGTTAGTTCTCAGTAATATAGTATCATCAAAACAATTTTTTATGTTAGACCATCATAAATCAGTCCGAATTCATATGATGGTTGTTCAAGATCGTTCAAACATTTGATTTCAAAGATACTATGATGAAAATTTGTGATGGTTCATAATGGTACAGCAATACATTTTCATGATGGTTTAATAATAATTCGTGTTTTTTCAGCAGGAATATACCATCAAAAATTTTTTTTGGCCCATCATAAATCAATCCTAATTCTTACACTAGGGTGATGGTAGCTCACGATCACTCCAACATTTGATTTCTAGGAAACTATGATGGAAATTTTTGATGGTTCAACATGAACAAACCATAAAAATAAGCTGCTATTCTTATATAAGACTATCATAAATCATTTCGAATTTTTACATCGGGGTGATGGTAACTTATGTTGTTTACCATCCAAAAATATAGTGATTCATGATGGAATTATTGATGGTTACCATCAAAATTATGCTGATCCATCAATGGAAAACCATCAAAAGTTTCGATATGAGTACGAAAGAAATTGTTAGAGATTTTTTTTTTCTTTTAAGTATTCTTTGCTAATATAATTTAGACATTTTTAGTGAGTTATTTTTATTTAATAAAAATTCCATATTGTTTGTGTTCTTTAGGTCCATTACTAAAACTGTGTATAATGATTATAACTATTTAGATTATTTGAAATTATGAAACAGAAACATCAATATATCCTTTAATTAATCTTTGGTGTCGTTTAATATGCTGAAGAATTGTAAATAGATCTTGTTTTCAAAGAATGATCATTATTTTTGCAAGTTTTAGTATTTTATAAAGACCAAACATTCATGAAATAAAGAAAAAACATGCTATATAAAATCTGGAGAGAGAAAGTTTGCAAAACTTATTCTAGTTACATTTGCATCAATGTCATATGCTCTGTATCTTAGCCTTTTGTAATATTTTCAGCGTATATTCCTAAAAGAAATCATTTTTTTGATAAAATATTGGTTGAAGTAGGTCAGTAGAGAGAGTTTTAACAGCTGTTTTGTTAAAACCACATACAATCATCAAGGTTTGAAAATTGCGCTAAAAATATTTCAAATGTTTAGCTAATGGTTCATTTTTCTAATTATTATCATAAAGTGCTTATGAATAAAACATTTATTCTGAGAGATATATGATTACTTTATGGATTGAAAATCATTTATGAAGTAAAAGCCAATTGGTAAAATAAAAAAAAAAAAAACAATGTATCAGAAAAAAAAGAATTAAGAAAAATATTTCTACATGTTCAATTCCAGTTAAAACTGTTTTTGTATTGTTTTACTACAGTTATTAATATTTGAAAATTTTACTATATTTATTAATTTTGATACATTTTGGAGTTGCTTCTTACTTATTGAAAAATGTTAGAACTGAACGATTGTATCATTTATATGTGCTACAATTTTATTATGGTGCACATTTTTCGATACTTTGGTACTTTTCATTTACGTCGTACTGGAGGTGCACAATGGTCTATTGGTAATGGTCTGGAAATCATTCCTGAGGATGATACGGAGACAACATACACACGTCACATCCCGTTTTACAGGGAGGACACATTCGCGCATCACCCATCCATCTACAGATCGTAATTTTGACCTGAACCAGTGCGCGATCAATTTCCGAACCAGTACCCAGAGATGTCGGAGGGGATCAAACTTTCGGTTTATCGAACAGGGGCCCAACGCCCTACTAGTTATGTTATCTCGGCCTATTATGGTTCAAACTTAAACTAGATTATTCATAATTAAATTTGATAAACTGAACTTGATTATACGCTACTTTAAATATAGTGAAATTGAAATATGATTTAATTTGATGTTTGATTGAGGTTGCTGAAAATTTGCACCATATTATTGACATTATGGTTCAATTTTGAATTGATTTTCTTAAGAGTGCATATATATGCTTGATTTATACAATGAGTGAGAAAATGTAATTTTACAAAAAGTTTCACCTAAGGCGAAAAAGTGATTTACAGCTTGTTCGAAAATTTTAAATTTTTGTAAATTTTTTTTAACAAAATTCTATTTGGATTTCATTGGAACCGAAAGTCTGAGAGTTTATTTAAGTATTCTTTTAATATAGATATTTATCCACCATAATGAAACCATAATCAATCACCAACAAATTTCTACTGCAAGAAACAATATATTGCTTTGAAGTTTTGATAAAGAATTTTATTACCGGAGAAACAACCTTCGTTAATAATTCTTTTACTAAGTACTGGGTGTTTAATATCTTTAAATAAAATGGTGCTATATATATTGTTTAACAAAACTTACATCCCATTTTTTAATACACATAAATCTAAAACAGTTAACACACTTACCTCAAAACTACCTTTCTTGTAGTTCTTTATGAAATGAGAGTAATTTATCTTGTTAATAACTACAGGAGTATTACCAAGAATTTCTCTGAACTGAGAATCGGTTAACAGAAAGCAGAAACTTTGTAGAATTTTACGAAAATCATCAATATGCATGAAACCAGTTTCTTCAGAATCAAATGCATTTATAGCCTAAATTATAATAAAATAGATACCTTAAAAACTATTAAATAGCAATTTTTCGTGTTATTGATAAATTATTATTAAATTTATCATAATTATGTACATGCTGTTATAATAATTGAGGCATATATTATAATATTGATAACTACTTATTAGTAGTGATAATACAATAATAATAACATACTATGAAAAATAATAATACAATAACGAAAATGCATTGTAAGGCTATGCATATACATTAAAATTTTTTATATACAGGGTTGTTCATAATTCCCTCCACCTGTAAACGCCATTTTTCTTTACTGCAACTGTCTTCAGTTTTACATGCTACTGCCATCTACCGATAACTGCTTAAATTAAAACTTGAATACTTTCGGAATAATTTCATATGTTCTTTTTTGCCATATTCGTCTCCGTTTTTTTACTATAACGCTTAGAAACCCCGGGGGGAATTATGAATAACCCTGTATATAGCTAAATTCTATTTCTGCGTATATAATTATGGGACTTATAGGCATTAAATTAAAATGGGCATTTTATTAAAATGGAAAGAGATACTTTTTAATTAAAGCATTTTTTAAACTTGTACAGTTATAATATATTTGCTGTTCCCCATCTATTTTGCTTACTTTGGCGCAATTTCACCATATTTACGAATTTCGTATTTGCTGACTTTAAAAACTCAATTAAAATAGTTTTCAGAAGTTCTAATAACTTTTGTGAAAAATTTTTTACGTTTTTTACACTTACTCTAATTTCTTGTAATTTTTTTAAGTTTAAAAATATTTCAAAAATGTAAAACTTGGTACCGTTCACAATATGTTATTTCAGTAATAGTCAGTTTTTTTCATTTTTTTTCCAATATAAACTTATAGAAGTTTTTAAAAAGTAGAATGAGCGTAATAAGACGCCAAGACCTATTTCCACAAAAATTGCTCGTACTGCTCGATTTTTTTTAGTATCGAGTTCTTGATTTTAAAGTTTGCAAATATGACAGTCATAAATGGTGAGATTGCCTTAAGATAAAGGACGATAATTAAGATGGTTCTACCATAATTAAGATGGTTCTTAGTGCGCTTATTGAAACTATTATATTATCGAATTAGTGTAAGTAGTTTTTTGCTCAAGAAAGTGGCTCTAAATATCGATGGATAACTTTGCAAATGTGCTAACTATATAGGCTATTTACACATTTGGGAAGGTAGTAAGGGTTGAGAAGGTTAATGCAGACATGGGGATTAAAGTGGGCATCTTGAATAACTTTTTTATTTATTGATCAAATTTTCTCTGTAAAATGATATAGATTGGCAACTCTAAAATATACAAAAATAACCTTTTTTTAGAAAAAAAAAACCTGAACAACTTTGTAATTCCAGATACAAACCAGAATGCAGGTAAAGTCTAAATTATAATTGGAAAAATACTTAATTATTTAAAAATTATTTTTAATGTGGTTTTTTGACAAATTTGTTAAAGAATATCCACAGTAGCTTCCCTTTCTTTCAACCTATAATATTTTCTTACACATTTTCATAGAATTTCATTGAATAAATTAATATTTTTCAAGCTTAGTGATCTCACAACTTTTATACTTAGGAAACAATATAATGTGCCTTTAACATGGAAATAAAAGCTTCTTTTCTTCATTATTAATTGGACTTTAAGATATATTCTATAGTAATACCTTTTCTATATTTGTTAAGTTTTTATTAAAGCTCTTTTTAAACTCCATTTTCAGTTTTTCCCCAGCCAGTGTTGGTGATATTCTTTCATTTTGAAGGTCTTCATTAGCTAGACTGTGATTTGAGTTATTGTTCTTTTCCTAGAGATAATAGAAACAGCAGATATTTAACAAATTATTTTTATAAAATATTTCATTTCTATCAAATGAAAATATTTTTGTTTATTAATGACAAAAAGACTATTATTTACAGATGGAAAAATCAGCAGCTTTAAAAATTAAGGGGAGAAAGTAAATATGTTTCGAGGGCTTAAAATAAGATGCCCATTATCAACGTTCATCAACGAGTAAAGGCCTGGTTTCTTAGGACAAGCGCCTTATCTGGGAGTCAGCGGGACGTTGACGTATCGCTGACGCCAACAAAATACTGGTTTGTTAGCTCAGCGTGAGCAGTCTGTCCAACGCAGACATTATCTTGCATTGCGCATGCATTAATAACGTAAACAAATATTTATTTTGAATTTGTATTGATTTTGTTATTGTCGACCAGTGCTTTAGAGAACAAATAATGACTTTGTCCAAGAAAAAATACATTATAGCTTAGCTAAATGAAGAGGACTAAGAAGAANCTTTAACAGGGAAATAGAAGTTTCTTTTCTTCATTATTAATTGGAAATATATTCCATAGTAATACCTTTTCTATATTTGTTAAGTTTTTATTAAAGTTCTTTTTAAACTCCATTTTCAGCTTTTCCCCAGCCAGTGTTGGTGATATTCTTTCATTTTGAAGTTCTTCATTAGCTGGACTGTGATTCGAGTTATTGTTCTTTTCCTAGACATAATAGAAACAGCAGATATTTAACTATCACATTTTTATAAAATAATTGATTTCTATCAAATAAAAATAGTTTTGTTTATTAATGACAAAAAAAAAAACTATTATTTACAGATGGAAAAAATCAGCAGGTTTAAAAATTAAGGGAAGAAAGTAGACATGTTTCGAGGGATTAAAATAAGATGCTCACTATCAACATTCATCAACGAGAAATTCCTGGTTTCTTAGGTTGTTGTTAATTTACGTCGCACTAGAGCTGCACAATGGGCTATTGGCGACGGTCTGGGAAACATCTCGGAGGATGATCCGAAGACATGCCATCACAATTTTGATCCTCTGCGGAGGGGATGGCACCCCCGCTTCGGTAGCCCGACGACCTGCGCGCGAAGTCGAGCACTTTACGGTAGAACAGTTTAACGAGGACCAATGCCGCATACCCTCGGTCCCTACGCAGACTGATCCAAGTGGTCACCCACCCGCACACTGACCGTAGCCAGTGATGCTTGACTTCGGTGATCTGCTGGAAACCGTGTCTTAACGATCAGTCCACTGCGGGACCTGGTTTCTTAGGACAAGGGCCTTATCTGGGCGTCAGCGGGACGTAGACGTACCGCTGACGCCAACAAAATACTGGTTTGTTAGCTCAGCGTGAGCAGTCTGTTCAACGCAGACATTATCTTGCATTGCGCATGCATTAATAACGTAAGCAAATATTTATTTTGAATTTGTATTGATTTTGTTATTGTCGACCAGTGCTTTAGAGAGCAAATAATGACTTCGTCCAAGAAAAAACGCATTATAGCTTAGCTAAATGAAGAGGAAGAAGAGTTATGTTTAATGTTAAAATCAAAATCGTGGCTGATTTCAATGCTCTGTTGGATGATGTCCGCCATTGCTTCTGTCGTTAACGTTACGTTGTAATCCAACTGCAGTTGAATCTGACGTTCAATCTGAGCGTTCGATGACGTATGCTGTTTAACTCACAAATTGACCAATCATGGGTTAGCGCTCATTTTAAACTGACGTTTTGTAACTATGACCTTTCATACAAAACCAGGCCTTAAGAGATAAAAACAAAACAGATTTAAAAAAGGGAAAAAAATAAACAATGGGGAAAAAACATAAAAGTTATTAACATTTTTCCTTAGTACAACATACAAATAAACCTTAAACAGTTTGTAAGTTGCGCATAACATGATTAAGGTTTCCAATACTTTATAATTCGAAAAAGAAAGTCCCAAAATCAACAAATTGATGTACTGAGAATCATAGAATTATTATAATGATTTAAGACTTTTTTTTTTCACATCATTCATAAATACGTAAAAATTTAAAAAAAGGCATTAGTGCTGTGTTAATTCAATTTAAAAATGAGCAGTTTAACTTTAATTTCTTTTGAAACCGAATTACTTACATTTTGCATTGATTCGAAGATCGAAAGGAAGTTTTGACAGTCCACAACATTTGTATGTCCAGGATCCAATATAAACATTAATGCTCTAAATTCTTCCTCCCCCAGAGGCAACAAGAGTTGTTGATTGATGGCTCTTTTCAGTTCTGCTCTTGTAATGGTTCTTTTGTTGTTCTGCAAGAGTGTTAACGTTGTATTAAAACATAAAAAACATAATTTTTGATGATCAAAAGGAAAGAACGGTTTATGTCCATTTTTCACACAAATTAAGAATAAATTACCATTTGTTTACGTTTGTAGGTTTACTAATTTTCGACAAGTCAGTAACGTGGAAAATTGATTCTCCCCGAGAGTTATTACACTTTGAAGACAGACTCGGGGAAAACGGTTTCTGTCCACGAGTAGATAAAGAGAATAAAAAAAGTATGGTGAAGACGAAGTATTTGAGTGGAGAGGGATTTCGAACAAAAAGCGGTTCTTGTCTAACCCGATTTTCGAATTTTATTTACTCTCAACATCAACAATTGCGAGTTTTCCTTTGAAATTTTTGAGGAATCCAAATAAATGCTGGAGATATTCATATATATTTTTATTTTTTCGATTTCAATTTTATGCAAGCTCTTGAACGATCTCAAAACCATAAATTCGATTCTTTTTTCTCCGAATTAGCTTCCTTGGACATAAATCGCTTTTTCCCATTGTTTTTCATTTATTTTTAGCAATATTTTCAGAAGTGCCAGTGCAACGCTGCAGATACCTTGCACCATATTATCGTGTAAACAAGTTGCGAAAATACCGCCTAAAAGAGAAAAGGCCTCAGCATAGGTTACCAAAAACAAGAATATTTGATCATTTAGTAGTCCAACCATAACGGCATCTTTCGTATTTTACCCCACTTCGCAGCTTAGTAGTCTGAAAGCAGTGACATCTTTCATATTTAACCACCACTGCGCAGTTTAATTCGTTACGTCGGACTACTAAATGAATCCGAGCTGAGGCCTCCTCTTTTCTTGGTGTCTCCTCGGCTTATTTGCTGTTGCACATTTTTGTTTCTTCGTATTAAATGTATTGCATAAATTTAATTTGCATTTATTTACATAATTTAAGTTGCAGTTTAGCACAAACGAAAAGTTTAGTAAAAGGAGGTTCTAAAAGACATTAGTGAGATTAAAAAAAACATTCTGCTTTTCAATCTACTCATTCTTTCAGCTCTGATTGGAAAACGCGTAAACGTTTCATTTTGTCACGTAATAAAATTAACTCATAACCGACATTGCAGCCAAAAAATAAACATTTTCCTCGATTTTGCTCAAAATAACAGCGGTTTTAAAATTGTAAGTGCAACCGTTTTGAGAGTTTAGAGGATTTCTACTCTATACTTACTTGATCAAGAACAGTAAAAGATTTGCCAAAGAAGTTTTCTGAGCTCGTTCCTGCTTTCTTCAGTTTTTCAATGATAGATCTACAAGCGCTCCAATTGTAAGATCTAAAATGGAAGAATGACTATATAAAAGGCATGTAAGCAAAGAATAAATTTAAAGAATTACATACTTACTTCGAATACTGAGTATTACTTCCAGAATTGTGGGCATTCTTCATGCAAACACTCTTTAGAAATTCATACCATTGAATTTTGTTTGCTGATGTAGGAACATTAAAACTAAAAATTAAAAAAGAAGAGAAATAACAAGGATAATTTTTAAAATTTTACGTCATGTGAATTAAGTACACTGGTATGCAATATATTGTAAACAGTAGTTCCGTAAAAATGAAGGTTGTCACGAAAATCTTCCACGATAGATCGCCAATTAATAGACAATGGGCGATTTTATCAAATTGAGAAAAACTTTGAGTAATATGAAGTTTTTTTTACCATATAAGTAGTTATAACTAGTTTGACGTAATTTGTTTAAGTAGTTTTAAAGATAATTTTATCAATACACCCTTTAAAATTGTAGAAAAGTATGCGAAGTATGAGAAATACAAAAATAGGTAAATAGAACATTCTGTAATATTTATCTAGTAATGTAGAGTTTTTCTCAAAAAACCACAAATCACTCTCAATTCTTTACATTATGCATACTTTTCTAAAACTTGTTTCAACAATTGAGAAGACATTGGCACTTAGTACACTCTTACATTATCTAGGAAACATTACCTAGTAATGTCACTGATTTTTTTTTCTTCAAAAAACTTCAGATAGCTTTTAATCTTTCATATTATGTATGCTTACTTTGCTAAGACTTGTTTCAACTATTGAGAAGACATTAGCATTTAGTTTATTTTCACATTACCTAGTAATATTATCTACGCAGAAGAAAAATTCCGATAAAAAATTCCCGTACTGTATGATAATGATATTTCTGGTAAAAAAACCCATAATTCTGGATATTGAAACCAAAATTAAAAATTTCATTTTTTATTATTTGTTGTTTATATGGAAACTGTTTACCGGAATTCAAGTGTGCAAAATAGCTCGCATAAAAAGTAAATATATTTAAATGAAAGAATAGTTTTTATGCCATGTTCTAAGATGCAAACATAAAACTACTGTATTTTACCACATTTACGAAATTTTATCCCACTTTATAACACCATGTTTTATTGTTAATTTTCCCAAAACGATTACCAAAGCGTTCCGATAAAAATTACTGAGCTTTTTTGTGCCTCCATAGTAAATTTTACCATATTCTGGTAATTTTGGCTATACTTTTTTTCTCAGTGTACTAATGTCACCTAGATTTTCTCAATAAGCCACAGATGAATCGCGATGGTTCAGGGGATAGAGCGTTCACCTTCTAATGAGGGGAATCGGGTTCGAATCCCAGCGATATCTGGTCGATATGAATTCCGCATCCGGCTTGCACTGACCACAGTGCTGACATACAATATCGTCAGTGGTAAACGCATCATGGGTTAGAGTCTCCTTGCCGTCAGGCTAATAGTTGGAGGTTTTTGTGGTCTTCCTCTCCATGTAACGCAAATGCGGGTTAGTTCCATCAAAAAGTTCTCCCCGAAGGCTCGCTTTTCTTTATGTTTGATCCAAAATCTCTCTTGTCTGTTGTCCCAATACTTGATCCAGGAGTCCCTTTGTCTTCCGGATAGAGATCAAAATTACAAGGCTACATAGATGAACATTACTAGTATGTAACCCAAAAATTGGTTCGGCAGTTCAACGACGGTTATGAATAAAGAATAAAAATAATAATAATAAAAAAACTCACAGATCACCTCAATTCTTTATATTAAGCCTATACTTACTTTGTTAAGACTTGTTTGAATAATTGAGAAGACATTGGCATCACAAAATAGTTTAATACTTGGTGAAATACTGTTAAAGAAACAAAACCATTATCACTGCTGTCTTTGATTCGGAAAGTTCGAAGCAAAATGGGAAAGTTCTTTTCAACCTAAATAAAGAAGAAAGATTTCTGTAAAGTATAACTTTCTTGGTTATAATATAACTTTCCGAACCTTTACTTACTCTTTTCCGAAATACTTCGACAATACTGCTGAAGACTTGTCCTTGGATTTCTGGGTCATCTCTTCCTAACTTTGCAAACTTTTTACGAGTACGTTCTTTTCTAAAAACGTTATAATAAAATGATTTATAAAAAAGTTACTTGGAACATATTTTGAAGTTAGAATATGTTAACAATTAGTTGTAACGAGAGCTATGAAAACTTCAATTTTCACGAAAGTCAATATAACTATTATCTACAGTTAATTTATTGAACTTCTTTTGCTTAATAAAATTTTGGTAATAAACGTTTAATATGGTGATTAATAATTTTTTATTACATTTTGTTTTAACTGTAACTTTGTTGATAAACGTATTTTGAAATATCCTGTACTAAAGAGTAGTAATCATTTCAATTTAAAGGATTACATAAAAATTTACAAAAATGTTAGAATATTCTAAAACGTCAGCTGTAGATTTGCCAGATATATTTTGGTTTATTACAGACAGTGCAAGAAAAGTTTTGATAAAAATTATGATAACTTACTGTGAGAACTTATCAGAAGTCAGAAAATTACAGAGGATTAAAAATAGAAAATTTCAGCAAAAATGGAGAAGAATTTTCTCAAGAATTAATTTCCTGTTTTGAGACTTTAAACCTTTTCCGGCTCTGAAACTACCAGGGATCTTATATTAGAACTGAATTTGAAACTCTTAAATATCACCCAAGAAAGTGCAATTTAGATCAGTTCATAATTAAAACCATCTTTTAGCACGCTTATATATATATATATATAGTGCAGCGTGTCCTTTTGTGGACCTTGTGTCATTAAACCCTACATTCAATTCAATTCAATTGAGTAAAAGCCTTTATTCTTAAGAAAAAACATAAAATTTTGTGAAGACCATCTCCAATTAAAATTTTTTAATTTCTTGTTGAATGTGTGTTTACTGTTTATCAAGGAAACAAATTGATTTCGATGGAAGTGACTGATTATTATAAAAGATTTGTAGATTCAATTC